TGTTTTTCTGCTGTGTTCAGGCAATTTTTTATAAATGCTTTTGTAAAGTATGAAATTTTCTTCCATTTATCTTTTAGAGTGGTTTTTGCTGAAGGAATATCTAGTCTTCTCTAAAGAAAGTCATTTATTCTTATGAAAGTAATATTGTATGAATAAAGATAATTGCTTTTGCTTCTTACAAAGTCCACTCACTTGTCCAATTTTAATTCTTATTTGGAGTCAGGTATAGTAATAGCAAAGTGTCAAATTACCTGTCACACATTTGTTACAGTTCTTTGATTTAATCCCTTTCTTATGCCATATTAATAATAATCAGATTTTTATTCTAATTTATTTCTAAGTGATAACCTGTATGGAAATTTCTTCAGTGCATTTTTCTGTTAATTCTATAGGATCTCCCACATGCATGTGTATTAAAGGGCCCAAGTTATTTAGCTGCACCTTGCTGCCTCTTCTTCCCATTTGTGCCGCTTTTGCTAGTTTTATTGGACAGCTTCAGATAGAGACAGAATTCTTCCTTGCTGCTTGGGACAGTCTTTTCTTCTTGTTTCACCGAGTGGCCACCTCCATAACAGCAGTTAGTTAACTTGAAGATCCTTCCCCTTGGCCCTCAACTGCCTTATTCCATGCTTGGTACCCACTATTGGATGTTCTTTTTTTTATGGGAGCTGAAATCTTTTAGTTATTTTCATTGCTTGCCTGTAGCTCTTCCTATGTCTATCCCCACTTCTCTTTCTTTGGGGACGTGCTCATATGGTGCTAGGTTCAGCAAGAGCACTGTGTTGACTCATTTGTTTGGCACCTTATAGAAGCAGCACTTCTTGCTGACCTCCTCTTGAGACCTACAGCACTTGTGAGTAAACAGACACTCTCTGGGTAATTAATTCTGCCTCTTCTAGTATTTTACTCAGTGCTTATACCTGTAAAATTTAATGGGACTTATTTCTAGCTTTTCTTCAACGTGTCACTTTCATTTTGAATTCTGATATCTTACAGCATATATTAGTTGCTGGGCCATGCTTGCCTACTTGCCTCTATGAATGGTCTGAGTGGTGTTCAGTGGAACTCTATCACCAGGTCCTAGGTGATCAATTAGATAGATCTGCGCCCCTGGCCTTTGAAGCCCCTCACCTTGCAGGTGTGGCCAGCCAGCTGGTCTTCACAGCTGCACACTCACCTAGCAGTTATAGAGCTTACAATCATATTTTCCATACTGTTTTGTCCAGTATGGGATCCTTCCACACCACCGAATGTTGAATTTTTGAGGTATACATAGAAGGCACAGGAGTTATAAATATGAACTACTTTCTAGAACTGGCAAAGCATTTTGGATTATTAGGAAGAATCCTTTACCATCGTAGCTCATTGCCAGGCATATATTTTCAGTTGCAGCCCAGAGCTGAAAGCATTAATGAATTCTAATAGCAAGGCAACACACATTCTGGCAGGGTTTTAATTGGCAAAGAGGTGGAAAACAAACAGGAAGGCTGGTGTGACCTTTGGCGGCTGGCACACAGCAGAAGCCTGGGTGTATGCCAGGCTCCTGGCCTAGGAAGAGTACCCAGCAGTGTGACTGCCATGGCTGAGCTAAAGGAGGTGCTCTTCACTGGGCTGTCAGCGTTTGAGAACCTCCTACCTCTGAAAGCACAATTATATATTTATGTGTAGTTCTCAGCAAGCAAGATATTCAGCTCTTTTCCAGTTTTCAGAAGAATCCATGAATCATAGAGGCTCAGAAGCTCTGTTCACCAAATGGACAATAATACAAACTTCCAAAATGGATAAAGCAGGTTGTTGGGAATTGATGCAACAATAATACCTAAAGGAAAGATAATTAGCATCTCTCAAATGCTAATTATTGTATGCATCAGACTCTTGGAAGCATCTTATTTAATTTTCACAACGACCCTAGAAGGTAGATAGGAAGGATTCAAATCAAAGTCTTGCTCAAAAGCCCACATACTTATCTGTATACCACACTGCCTTTCTGAAAAATGAAAATGACTAAACATTGAAGATTTATAAGAAACAAAGACAAGCAATCGAAAGCCATGAGGAGAGGTGATTTGATGTACAAATATGTTACTTTTTAAATAAAGAGCTTATCTGTGGAATAAAGTTGAGTGATTTTAACCAGACAGGGTCCAGAGGATATGAAATAAGGTAGGCTACAGCTTCCAGGAGGCATCGTTCATCCTGGCAATGCTTTCCAAGAGCCGAAGAAGATGTAAATGGAGCAGTCTGAGACCCCTCTTCACCATTCAGTCTCTCCTGAGTGAGATCATGTGTTTATGAACTGAAAGATTGGAAGTAATTTCATTCTTCTTTTGCATCTCTGTGTAAATAATGACAGTTGTTTTGCTCATACATATTACATTAAGTTAGGTAAATTGTCCTGTGTTATCCTTCATCTCTGTTTGGACTTATTAATTCTTTTCATACAAGTTTTCTTAATGGAGTTTAGGAAACATTCCTGCCTACATAATTGAGTGCTGAACAACCAGCCCCTAGCTCTGCCTTTTTCTTATACCTGCAAGTCCTAAAGAACATTTTGATCATTGTTTCCTGGAAATTATTAATTGAAAATATTCAGGGAACAAAAATAAACACAAGTTTCTGGAGGAGTTTTCTGTATTCCTGTTTGCCAGCACATCTTACCTAAAACAATGTGATCATCTATTTGGAGAACTCTGGGGAGGCTGAGCAGGATTAATTCCCATCCCCGTGTTTCGATGTAAACAGCTTTTTGCCTGTCTTTTGTCATTAATGATCATGCTGTAGATGTAGCCAGTGCATTGTAAGCCAATCTGTCAAGGCAAATAAACAATTCACCTTGTTAAAATTCCCTAAATCTTGCATTAATAAAACCAAAGTAACCCCCTGAACACTCCAGAGATGTCTTCCTCCATACTGCAGTGATGGATGACATGTCTAAAGATCCTGGAAATTAAGTAGTCCAGGTCATTAAAAGTGTCCCACACTTGTTATTGATTTAATTTATTTTAAAAAGGTGGGGGTGGAGATAAGAATGTTGCACCCCTGTCTTTTTTTTTTTTTTAAATCTGAAAGCTACTACTTATATAGATGAGACTTGCCCAGTTAAAGAGCTCCAAAATACACTAAGTTTTTAAACATTCAAATAGGTATTGAATCATCTTCTTAAGCAGATATCTAGGAACATCTTGGAGTTTTATATGTATTGTGATTCTTAGAACTTTTGTATTGTAGGTATTAAAATAATAACCTTTGAGCAGCCAGAAAACTCCCTTGGGTCAGTAAAATTTAAATGAAGGTGAAATGATTTGGGAGAAATTAACTGAAATAGAATAAAATTATGCCTTCAGGCACAGGGTTTTTTTTGACTGAACTTTTCATTTTTCTATTTTTATAACTAAGGAAAGAATAAATATTACATATAATGTTGATGGATGGATGAGAAAACATTCAGAGAATGGTACTGAATTTTGATTTTATATCACTATCCTCTAAGTCAAATTCAAATTGTATATGTATATTTACTTGTCTGTTACTAGGATTCCCATCAGCCCACACCCCACTGGACCCACGATATTCACTGATACATCCCCGTGCCTAATAGATGTCCAGTAAATGTTTAATGAATACAACAGGATTCCCAGTCACTTTTCTTCTCTTCTATGCCATACCTTCTGGCAGTACAGTGGGCCATGTGAGGAACAGTGACAGCCCCAGACAGCAGCTCTCCAGATAAGCCCTCTCCAGACACTAAGCAGCAGGAGGGTTGGACACTAGTGTGGCACAGAACTCAGCCTGGCAGGACCACAGATTATGTGTCCCTGACACCGTATGTCTGTTCTGGGCTGGGTAACGGGATTCCAAAACCTTACAAGAAATGGGGCAACTCAATATGAAATATGGCTAAAAACAAGATATTTCACAGACTTATGTACCCATAGTTTGGCCTGACTTTTGTCATTTGTTATGTTATCTTATACACCAGCTTACATTCCTGATTAGCTTTGTGGATGATACTTACCCATAAATTCTCATTGTTCTTTAAACAACATGTACTTACTGCGGGAAAAAAATAACTTGCCCATGGTAAGTTATAAAAAAGGACCCCTGAGAATAGTTGTCCTAATTTCAAAGATTGTTACATAGTCTTTGGTGCCTTTCACTCATGGTCTTTGGGGGTAAATAGGAAGGAAATAGGAGGGGAAGGTAGCACTATATAATCAGTTCAAACTGTGGCAGATTCTTTTTTAAAAGTAGATATGAAAATGCGCTCTATAGTTCTGTATCAGATTTCTGCTTGAAATTGCATAATTTGGATCTCTGAATACTGACATGGTTATCCCATTATGCCAGCTATTTAGCAGAGCTCTTTAAAGGAAAGAACACTATAGATGTTTTCAATGTATACACTGATTTACACGTAGCAGTAAAGTTGTTACTGACCCTTTAAGTGGAGCTGTCCAAATGGCAATGTCAGTTGATACTAATACTGAAACAGGTGATAGCTGAGGGGTTTGATTAAAGCTTTCAGTTAGAAAAACTTATAGTATTTCCTAAACAGCGGTAACCTCTTGTGGAAATACATTCATGTATACCAGACCACTTTATCACTAAGAAAAATCTGGTTTATGTATCTAAGCAATAAAATTGACATACTCAGGTTTTGAAATATTCTGGATTAGAATCTCCATGAAGGCAGGGGCCTTATCTAGCTACTTCTCCAAGGTCTTGTGTTCTGCACCACATCTGAAGTGAAGGAGGTGCTTTGTAAATGCTGGCTTAATGAAGGGATGGATAAAATCCACCATTCGCTGGTGCTGCATAGCATGTGTGTCACCCTGGATTCTTGGTGGGTAAATTGGGGACCATTCCTCGTAGTGATCGTGAGGAGTGTGGCTGGTGAGGACTTGATGGACAGTTATGACTTTTTGATATAATTCCTTTGATTGATTGCCTGGCACACTTCACTTCAGTTTCTAATTCTGTTTTTTTTTTTTCTTTCACAGGCTGTCATTTTAGAAAATGAAGAGCTTCCAAAACTGTTTCTTGATTTCCTAAATGTGAGACACTTGCCCTCTCTACCAAAGGCAGAAAGTTGTGGGTAAGAATTGTTGTTTACATATTGGGTGTGTATTTTAAATTACTTTCCAATAGCTGATTGGTCTAAAAAGCACCTCAGAGAGATGCCATAAGGGCCGGGCCAGCCACACCCAATCTTTTGGTTGGGACAGCACTTGCTTGCCCCCTGCTTGTAGTCAGAAGAATTCCTCCCAAGTCCTCATCACTGTCTTGTGGCCAAATGGCCAACACACACTAATTCATGTCTAGACATAAAGAAATGACCTTTTAAATTATGCTGTTGTGTAAGTGAAACTATATGATGGCAATTATGAATCTAGATATCTTGCTTAGGGACCATTTATTTGTGGGTACTTGAGCCAAGTCCATATCCCCTTGGTGTACCTAGTCATATAATTTTAAAGCCACACAAGGTCCCGAGTTCAATCCCTTTACCGAAAAAAAAAAAATTTTTAAAGCCATAAATGACCTTAGAAATGATTTTATCCAAATCCCCTTATTTAATAGTTGAATAAACAGAGACAGGAATTCAGTGCCTTTCTCAAGATCTCCTGCCTTACAGCTGGCAGAACCCAGGCCTTCCAGTGCTAGCCCTTTTTCTCCACTGTCCTGCTACTTCTTCCTCAGGAACCTCTAGCAGCCGGGCTGCAGATCCTACTCCCTGTCTACCATGGAGCCAGAGGTCCGATAGCCCCAGATTGGGAAAGGCTTTCCTGAAGAACTTACAGCAAGCCCCTTGACCAGCTATGAGCACATGCCTTGGGCTCAGCTAGCCTCTGAAGGCAGTGAGCAATATCCCTGCAGAGTAAATCTACTGGCAGGGAAACAAGTCTGCAAAAATCCCAGCAGAGCAGGGGTTTGACCAACTTTTTCTCCAGCCTGCAGTCTCTCCAGAAGGAATCACACTAACTACAATATCATCACACCTAGCCACACCCAGAGTCCTCCTAAGCCCTAGCCAGCTGTGAGATGAGAGGCTGGGGTCACTTGTCACAGCTCCTCACCAGAACTGCGCCACTGGCCCCAGAGCAGAATTAAATTCCACCCTTAACTATTTATGTTGTTATGTATTCAGCACGAGCCTATGTGAGTTTATTTACTCAAGGTTAGGCTCACACAGTTACATAATTTAAGAAGAGACATTACAAATAACAGTGAGTGAAGTCTTCATCCATTACACAAGCCCCAAAGTAGTATTGAAACCTTAGGATTTTACAGTGATCTCCAGAAAAATGGAAATCCAAGAGTCTTCCTGGCTTCCACAGTTACACTGTGGCTCAGCACAAAGCCACCATTTTTTTTTAATGGTTCCCAATTCAATGCTGTAATAATACTGGCTAGTTTTTACTTTGTTGCCATAAACATGGGTTGTACTCATTTGGTCTTTCTCTTTTCTTTTACAAAAATTTTAGATCTTTTGATGAGACAGAATCTGAGGAGTCAAGGTAAGAACTAGGATTAGTCAATTAGGGGTTATACAGACCAAAAATAGGATTAATGGTTTTATTAAATATCTAGTTACCCTGATAAAATGTCGAAGTCAAGTCTTCTTGAAAACTTTTGTTGCTTCAGAGTGCCAAGGAGGTGAGCCAAGCGGCCACCAGCACACTACCACCACCCCCCGCCCCCGGCTCTGTGGAGCCATTACCTGGATCCACACTGCAGAGTTGCAGGGGTCATAAAGGACATTGTTCTGAGCTTGAGAAGATAGAGTAGAAATGAACAACTGAAAGAGGGTCTCTCTGAGGCCCATTGATGAAAATTAAAGCCCACTGGAAAAGTGAAAAAAATCTCTGCAACAAAGGTACACCAGACCACCTTAGTTGGGGGAGCAGTGGTGTGGACCAGAGCAGCATGACTGCAAGCAGATCCCAGCCAGGGCTCCGCCCCGAGCCCAGAAGCTGGGGCACACCAGCCCAAGCCAAGGGCCAGCCTGGAAAAGAGCTGCACAGGCACACAAACAACAGCCAGAGGATCGCCCCAGTACCATCACTAAGTGCATGAGACCCTAGCCAGAAGCTTGCTCACACAACAAGAACTGGGGTACGCAGCCCCCAGCCATAGGCCCTCCCAGACAACAGCTACATAGGGGCCCTAGCCAATGGCATACCTAGATACCATCCAAAGTGTGCATAGCCCCTGACCAGAAGCTCACCCAGACAACAGGTCAGCTCAGGGATCCAGAAGACCAACTTTCTGAACCCAGGAATTTGTGTACTGGTGAGCAGCAGGTGGCTTGCTGAGGATTGAAGACCACTAAGTGAGCAAAAAGTTGTCTCAACAGAGGCACAGCAGGCTGCATCTGTTGAAATGAGAAGACACATAAAAAAGTCTCAAAATCAAACTTCCAAATCACTTAAGGCAACCCCAAAGGGAAATGAGATGAAATAATCTGATACTCAACCACCTGGACTCCCTGAACTGGCAACAAAAGAGGATCTGGGAAAAATGAAATCAGAAATAATTTCTCAGATAACAGCAGAGATTGTGCCCATAG